GTAAGAAATCATAAGTTTTAGGAGTAAATTGTAGATATCAAAAACTTGAGGATCAGCTTGTGCAAAATCTAGAAGTCAAGGACCAGGACTATTCTTTTACCTTTATAGAAATGGCTAAGAAGGACAAAAACCCAAGACGGTGATGCCATTGTGCGCTGAACAGAAATTGTCAGCACCTTGTTGAAGGTGGTGACCCCTTACGCAATTTTCACCAAATTCGTGTTTAATTAATTATTATGGGTGTGGGTCTCACTTCTATTCTAATCAGGATTTTTAAAATCCTATAAATAACAATCCAAATTCAGAATTAGGGAGCTAGGTGGAGGCTGGTTGCAGCCCTCGTTTGGGCATTATTGGAGATTAAGATAGAGGTTCCATCAACAATAGAAGATCAAGGAGTTCGATTTCCTCAAATTGTGTTTTGTTTTTCCTTGGATTTTTATCTATTGTTTGATATTTGAATGTTCATAACTATGATTTTAGATTTTATTATTTTTATTATGAACTGATTTATTCTACTAAGGCTACAATGTATCCTAATAAGTTCAATATAAATTTTGTGATTTTATGCTTTCAATTAAAGTTATTCGCATGAAGAGTTTATATTATTGAACTTAATGCATTGGAAGCCTGATCATCTTTCAATTGATTTAGTGATTTATGCATGAACTTGAGAAAGAATTGCGTAGATTAGACCAATAATAATATAAACCGTGTGCTAGACTATAAGATCGAGAGGTAATTAGCTCACATGTGGTAGTGGAGGAAGAGAAGAGAGTTAGGAACTCCTCCTTCTTAAGCTAGAGGTTTCCATAGAATTTAATGCTCATTAGTTTGTTTAAAATTACATAAAGATATGATTAATTTAACAAACCAGTGAAGGATTAACTTGACTTGAGAAAGCTAGTTAATTAATTTAGGGAAATCCGCCATCACATACAATAACACTCAATAAATTAGTTTTGAAAGTATATTAATCTAGAATTTATATTGATTGATTATGGTGAAATCAATGCCTTAGTACCTTCTATCTTGGTTAGGTTTATTTGTTATTTTCTTTTTATTATTTTTAATTAAAGTTTCTTCCTATTTGATTGTTCAAATAAATTTAGATTAATTATTTTGGTACTTAATTAGACACAATCCTTGTGGGTTTGACACTTTCTCATCATTATATTACTTGGTAGGGTGATTTTAGTGCATCAAGTTTTTGGCACTGTTGCCGAGGTTGTTGATTTAATTAATATCAGAGTTGGTTAATTCTAGATTTAACTTGAACGTTTTCTTTTTTTTTTCTTTACTTTGATTTTTTTTTTTCTGTTTCCTTGTTTTCGTTTTTATAGGTTTAACTATGGATTGGGTTGGCCTAAACACTGATCTAAATTATCAATGGCTTGCACTAGAGATGAAGGCACAAGTTGAAGCAATAATTATTAATTGGGATGTAGAACTTGATGATGATGAACTCTGAAAGATTTCAAGCAGTCATTGAAAAGATCAAATTAAAGAGGGCTTTAGTAGAACGATTAAATATCACGTGTGAATGGTGTAGATTTGATCATTTCAGTCATGATTGCTTATTTAAATGATATAATTTGCTCAACCTAGTTGCTGAAAAAATACAAGGTGAGTTATTTAGTGCAACAATGAAACATCAAGAAGAAGAGGAAAACACCTTATCTTTGGAGATTGGAGGACAATTTGGAGAAATAAAAAGCATACTTGCAGAAACTAAACAAGAGGATGTCCCTAAGGAGGAAGAGGAAAAAGCTCAAGTGGCATTTGAAGTGTCCAATAAAGAGTCTCCTTTAACCAAATTTATTTTAATGAATGTTTTCTTGTTGATATGGTTGATGAAATTTGTAGGAAAACACTTATGAGGATCCACTTAAGATTTATCTTATTCAAGCAAAGAAGCCAATTAAAGAATACATAAATTGCTTGAACACATCCTCATCTTACTTGGAATCAAAGGAGGCAATCCTAGAAGAATTGGGATGGCACATCTTTTGGCCTAAACCCAAACCACCACAAAATAGTACGTGGAGAAAATCTTATGGTGGATTCAATTTAAGGGCAAAAAAGCCAAGATTCAAGAAAACGAGAGAACATGCCCTATGACCTGATCCAAAACCACCTTGGAGTGATAGAAAGTCTAGTTAATGACTTTAAATTAAGCGCTTCTTGGGAGAAAACCCAAGCATAAAATTTTCATTTTTGTTATTTATTTATTTTTTTTATTTTAATAGTTTAGGTTTTATGTTAATTTACTTTCTTTTTATGGCCCAGGTTGATGCATTAATGTGGAGAAATTCATATCTCACTAAGAGGTAAATTTATTTGATTAGTTGAGTATTTTGGTTTATAAATTGTTGTTCTTTGATTTTGGCCAAGTCATTGAACAAGTTTGGGGGATGAGATTATGGAAATTCACATGCTTGGAGTCTCCAATTGAAAAGAACTCAACTTCAGAACTCAAAGTTTCAAGTGCAAAACCTCGAAAGTTTCTCTTTTCTCTTACTTTTATTTTACATTGAGGACAATGTTCGATTTAAGTTTGGGGGAGAGAATAACTTTTAGCATCCATTATTATGTTAGTTTCTGTTCACATTTGCATAACATACCATTTTTTTCTTTTTTAGAAATTAGGGTTGTTTTTTTAGGAATTGGTCCAATTAGTGTCAAGGAATAAAATATTCTTGAGTTGGTGATTCAAAAACTTCTAGATCTTTAATTCTTAGAGGAGATACAAAATTTGAAAAATAGCACCATTGTGATGAAATTTAAGTTCATGAATATTCTATTCTACTTGAGCACAAGTTTGTAGTGAGAAGTTTAGAGAGAAGACTTAGTAGCACCTAAATAGCACATAAAAGAAAAAAAAGAAGAAGAAGAAAAAGAAGCCAATACAAAAGAGTTTATTAATTTCTACTCCAATGTTTTTAGTTGCTTAGTAACTGGGGCTTAGACATGAGACCCATGTCAACTTTCATGTCAAACAATGACTTGAAATATGAGTATGCAAAACACTTTGAGTTTATGACTTGTTGAGTAACCAGGTGCTTTCATCACAAATGTTAGTATTCGCGTCAAAAGACAAGTGATAGCTTAGGGAAGAATGTGTTTTATGGCTGAAAAAAGAAAAAGAAAAAGAAAAAGAAGTCGAATGTTTCGTGGCCTTTGTTACTTGAGTAAGTATGTTATTAGGGGTGTCTCTTCACCTAATGCCCTAAAGCCAACTAGTTTGGGAGTCATTGACAAAAAGCTCGTTACATGGGTAACTTAGAAAGCCTAAGGAAACTCGACATATGAAGAAAAAAAAAAAAAGAGGGAGAAAAAATAATAATAATAAGTGCTAAGGTGTGAAAGTCTAAACTTGAGACTTCTTACTATGAATTTTCACACACACACTAAGTGCTCATGAGCTAAATCTTTTAACTAGTGGTGTGAAGAATAGGATGAGTATTTGACTTTAAGTGAGTATATAAAAACTCTTGAATATTTGAGACTTTGCCTCTAATTGAACTTTAATTCCTAAATTTTCTTTGCATGCATATCATGTAGTTATATTCTTGCATTAGGATTTTGTGGGTAGATCCACTGAAAACTCTCACGAGACACAACTCGTCCACTAAGGTGACCTAGGGGTTTAAAGGTTTGTTGCACTTATTAAGTGCAATCGTGATTCGTATGAAAGTGAGTTAGGTTTTATTTTTTTTTTTAGTTATTTGTTTTTTTTATTTTACTCGAGGATGAGCAAAACTTAAGTTTGGGGGAATTTGATAAGCTAAATTTATATACATGTTAATGTGAAATTGTTGCCTTGATATTGTTGATATTTGGATGAGTTTTATAAGATTTTATTTGATTTTACATAATTTTTATTCTTTGTGTAAGAAAGGATTTAATTGAAAGAAATCAAAAGTTTTAGGAGTAAATTGCAGAGATCAGAAACTTGGGGATCAACTTGTGCAAAATCCAAAAGTCAAGGACCAAGACTGTTCTTTTACCATCACGGAAATGGCTAAGGACAAAAACCGGACATGATGATGCCACTGTGTGCTAAACAAAAAGTGTCAGAACCTTGTTGAAGGTGTTCACCCCTTACGTAATTTTCACCAAATCCGTGTTTAATTAGTTATTATGGGTGTGGATCCCACTTTTATTCCAATTAGGGTTTCTAAAACCCTATAAATATCCATCCAAATTCAGAATTAGGGAGCTAGGTGGACGTTGGTGGCAGCCCTTGTTTGGGCATTATTGGAGAGCAAGATAGAGGTTCCATCAACAATAGAAAATCAAGAAGTTCGATTTCCTCAAATTGGGTTTTGTTTTTCCTTGGATTTTTATCTATTGTGTGATATTTGAATATTAATAACTATGATTTTAGATTTTATTATTTTTTATTATGAACTGATTTATTCTACTAGGGCTACGATGTAGCCTAATCAGTTCAATATAAATTTTGTGATTTTATGCTTTCAATTAAAGTTATTCGCATGAGGAGTTTATATTATTGAACTTAATGCATTGGAAGCCTGATCATCTTTCAATTAATTTAGTGATTTATGCATAAACTTGAGAAAAAATTACGTAGATTAGACCAATAATAATATAAACCGTGTGCTAGACTATGAGACCGAGAGGTAATTAGCTTACATGTGGTAGTGGAGGAAGAGAAGAGAGTTAGGAGCTCCCCCTTCTTAGGCTAGAGGTTTCCATAGAATTTAATGCTCATTAGTTTGTTTAAAATTATATGGAGATATGATTAATTTAACAAACTAGTGAAGGATTAACTTGACTTGAGAAAGCTAGTTAATTAATTTAGGGAAACCCACCATCACATGTAATAACACTCAATAAATTGGTTTTGAAAGTATGTTAATCCATAATTTATATTAATTGGTTATGGTGAAATCAATGCCTTAGTACCTTTTATCTTGGTTAGGTTTATTTGTTATTTTATTATTATTATTATTATTATTATTATTTTGATCAGCAAATAAAATATTTATTTATTTTTAATGGAGCACAAGGGGTGCTCCTGCCCTTTTACACATAAATGAAACATCATAACCCAACAGACCATTACTCTAAAAACAGTCATCAGCACAAAGAAAAAGTTCCGGCACAGCAAACATTTGTCAAACATCACCCCAAAACTTGCATTCACGTCTCAGCCTCAGGAGAATCCGGTTGAAGACACCTCCCCTGTTGCTGCTTAAAAATCTTCAAAGACTTCTTGTACCGGGTCAATTCCTTTGCACATTCCACCGGATTGTTCTGCCACTGAGCAAAAGAAAAAACACACCCTTCCACCTTATTCTTGATCCAAAAAAACGACTTACCTTGAATTACTTCTAACAATTGGTCCCTACAATCCCCATGCTTCTGAAATACCAAGACATTCCTCCAATACCATATATACCAAGCTACAACAAGAAAAATACATGCTCCCATCTCCTTACCCACCAATCGACCCAAACACCATAAGAAAAAATCTGCCACACCCCTCACCTTATCCGGCATCACAACCTCCAAACCCCACCACCGAATCACCTTAACCCATACTGACCAAGCTATCTTACATGTGCAAAATAGATGATTAACATCCTCCACACCTTCCTTACATAATCCACACTCCATGCCATCCACTTGAAATACCATCCCTCTCTTTTGCAAATTCCATCTTGTTGGCAGCCTGTCTAGACACATCCTCCACCCAAAAAAACTTACTTTTGATGGCACCAACCTGCACCACACTAATTTACATAGATGGCCCTCAAGCAAGGAATCCACAGACTCTAAATAATCATATGCTGTCTTCACAATATAATTACCTCTTACATCATATGCCCACTGCCAAGTATCTACCTCACTATGCCTAAGCTGTACACTGCCTAAAACCTCCCAGAACTTCTTCTCCTCATCCTGTTCACGCCTCCTTCTCTCTCTCCACCACTTCAATTCCCAGTTCCAACTATCCCTCTCCCATGATCCATTTTCCTTAACCTTGCTCTCTTTATATTCAGCTAACTGAAAAAGCCTTGGAAATAAATCTCGTAACGATTTGTTCCCCACCCAAACATCTCTCCAAAAACCCACCCGACTTCCATCCCCCACCTTCCATCGAAACCCCTTCACCAACATATTCTTAAGCTTCGTTGATTGCCCACCTACACAAATAATGTCACCCCAAATTTTAGACACCCTCACAGTGTCCACATCTATCATACCTACCTCCCCTTCACCATCATAATATTTATCTTTCACTACCCTCTTCCATAACCCCTCCCTTCCATCTCCTAACCTATACCACCATTTCCCCAACATCACCCAGTTTCTCCTATGTAAATCTGGAACTCATAATCCTACTTTCGCCTTACTACAACAAATTGCATCCCATTTAACCCACGCAATCTTCCTTTTTCCCTCAGTTGCACCCCATAAAAAATCCCTTTGAATCTTAATTAAATGGGCAAGCACAGAATTCGGCATTAAAAACAAAGACATAAAGAAAGTAGGAAG